ACAGAATTTGAAAATTCAAAACCGTTCTCGAGATAATCGTGGGACAGACGGACAGACGGACAGACGGACAGACGGACAGACGGACAGACTGATAGACGGACAGGCGGACAGACGGACAGACATCGTGAAATCAATAAACCTAGCAAGCTAACAGCATAGCAAAGTGGCGAAGCAATCAGCTTTGTAGCAGTTTCTAACGGTTGCCGTTGAGCAATCAGTTTCAAAATAGGAGGTTCAGATGCCTGGGTGATCAGTAATCGATTGCTGAAAACAGAATTTGAAAATTCAAAACCGTTCTCGAGATAATCGTGGGACAGACGGACAGACGAACAGATGGACAGACGGACAGACGGACAGACGGACAGACATCGTGAAATCAATAAGTGACTTCGCGAGCTTCGCCACTTAATAATTGCTTTGATGATGTCAGTTCGATTGCTGGTTTTCATCAAATCTCGATTTGAGGTCCTAGGAAGCCGTTTCGGCCGTGTGTGTGCGTGCGTGTGTGCATGAGTGCGTGCGTGCATGCATGCGTTCGTGCCTGCATGCATGCATGCCTGCTTGCGTGCGTGCTTACGTACTTGCGTGCGTGCGGGTGGGCGAGTGGGCGTGAGTACATGCGTGCGTGTATGCGTGAGTGCGAGCGTGCGTTCGTGCGTGCGTGCGTGCGTGCGTGCATGTTTGCGTGCGTGCATGCGTACGTGCGTTCGTGCGTGTATGTGTTAATAAAATATTGTCGTACGATTTCTTTAGAATAAATCAACCGATAGAGATAAACTACACGGAGTTCGAAAGTGTTCACCGAGGCTTCAAGCTGATTAGATTTTCAAGTCAATCGGTCGCACCGTTTCAAATATTTTCAAAACATAATAAACATAAAAACAAAAACTGAATAGAGCTACTTCCAGGGATCAACTGTTTTTCAGATTTTTTATTTTTAATACTAACCAAATACTACCGCGCTATTCACAAAAACATTAAAATAAAAATAAATGTGCCTGCTTGTCATCAACCGTTAAAAAACGTTCGACCTCTCGTTATTTTTTTTTAAACTTGAATTATCGTACAGTCCTATTTCACGTGGTATCAGGCCAAGAACGCTGGCTGCGTTTCTTTGCTGAATGGCTTTACTTAACCTTTGAATAAAAGCGATATTTTAATTCTCGCTAAACTTACTTTTTTTTGTTTTATTATTTTTGTATCTAATTATGCAAAGCAATCTGCCATACGAACAGGATCTATAATATCACCATATTATAATAATATAGTTATTCTCGGGCCTCCTGCACTTACCAGACAATACCCAAAACACTCTACACTCAACATACGTAACACAGCAGCCTTAAGCTGTTGTTTTGCGCTGGTATCTTCGAGAGCGTGGTCCTACCCCGGTCGAGCCGACCCGTTCGCGCTACAACTAATATAGCTGCAACGTGGTTCTACCACTGCTAAGTTATAATTCTCTTAAGCTAACGACAATACAAATTACAGCTGCGTTATCACCCCTAATACTCTCTACAACACACCCACGCGAAACTCAATAAAATTATCCTGCTATTTTAGGATGGTATTTTGTGTGGCTATTTTCCGGCCGAGCCCACTCTTTTGTGACCATGCCTTAATAACGCAGAATTTGTTGAAGTATAACGCCTTCATTCATCATTTTGCCGGCGTAACTTTTATTTTTGTCGTCTGCCTACGTGGCAATTTCAATCCACATCCTTTTAGCAGGTTTATGCGTGATTGAGTAACAAATATCTAAGCATCTTCACAAGTTTCGCATTTTTATTTACTTCTATACAATAAAGAGCCTTTGTATATTAAAGAAATACACTTTTTTTCTTATGTAACAAGTCTATATATTCATTAAAACATTTTTTTATAGCTATATTTAATTTACTTTTCTTAGCACTATGGATCTTCACCTTCTATTCTTATTTCACATACCGTTTTACTTCCTTCTCTTTTAAAAACCATAATTTTCATCTTACTTGAATTCACTTTCATTCCCCTTTCTTTTAATGACCTATACATCAATATAACCATGATTTGCAACTCGGCAAATATGACTTGATCATCAGCGTACAAAAGGCATTTGACGGTTAACTCACCCATTCTTAACCCGCATTCTTCAACTTTGAATTTTTCCAAACAACTGTTCATAAATAGGTTGAACAGCCACAGGGAAGCCACAAAGCACTGTCTGTATACTCCAATGCATTTACAATTTACAGATACAGTTGTGTTCAACAAGCTTCCCCCATAGGTTAACTTATAGAGATAGTTGCCATAGTTGCCACGCTTGGCAAGCGGGTTGGCAACTGCAGTTTTTTTAATTTGAGTCGTTAATAGGAAGACGCTGCTGGCCGTCTCCTGATTCGTTTCCCTCTGTCGCCTCTTACGACACCCACGGTAAACCGTATAGTGGTGGTGTAAGAATATGCCTCCATGTATTCCTAGAGTTCAGTGGGGCAATAATATTTCCATTAGCTTTATCTAGGAACGCGCACCATTGCAAAATAAATCAAAAAACGTTAATTTTTAGCACAGTCATCGTTAAAAAAATGGTGAGCTACTGCGGGAACACGGGTTCATACGGCCTGGGTGTTCACGATACGGGAGCAGTTGGCCTGTTTAATATACCACTAGCTTGTTTACAGATTCGACTTCGAATTAGTCAATGCAAAAAAGGATAACCTTGTTTATAGGTTTTGAGACTCGTCTTGGCGAGATTGTATTAAGTAATTAAGAACTACCTTGTTGTTGTCCAGAGTAATCTACTCTATTTTACGGTAATGATAACTGCATTCCTTTTATAGTTACATTTTTCATTACACCCCGTCAAAAGTCTACTGAACATATGCCCCCCCTGGCATTACTCTCTATCTGCTCGTATAGTTCAATCGGTTCAGCCATTTTGAAGATTAATCCTGGCAGAGAGACAGACAGATTGACAGACAGACAAAATAAAAAAATGCTTATAAATAATTCAGGTCAATAAAGTGCAGTTATTTCGATATTATAGCAAGACACTACAAATTTATTTACATTTGTAGATTATAAACAACACAGTTACTTTATACGTCGTATACTGACAATATTTGATTTATATGAAAGCATCTCAAACAAGTAACTCCGTGTCATTTTTATTACCTCGCATATTCTAAACCCGCAATACGTGCTCGACTTACTACGGAAACTGTTTTACCTCTCTGTTACGGCTTTGTTCGCCAACGAAGTTAACCCAACTATAAATCCTTATTGAATATAATCTGAAGGCAAAAACTGAAAGTACTCCTTTTATTAATTTACACTTAATATAAAAGCAATTTAATTTTAACGCTTTTACTTGCGTGGAATTCTTGTTTAAAAACAAACACGATGTAAACATTAAAAGAAATATTTGTTCAATGAAATAAAAATAAAAATGGTAAATTACAACAACTACAATAAAAAATGATTCCTAAACTCCCATCGAAACCGTACATATCTTTTATTTTCCGTGTACAGAAACAACAAAATTAACTGATAAGTTAACAAAAAGAAGTTCTCAATTCGTCGGGATATGTTCTTTATTATTCTATTATTTATTATCTAATTTGGTTATGTTCTTTACCACGTTGTCCGATTTCAATAATTATCATTGATTTTTAGTTTAAATATAGCTGAGTTATTTTATTTTATTATTTTCGTTTTTTTATTAATTTAAATATTTATTTACATAACATTGAAAAAAAAATTACAAAAAAAAATAAATAAATAAATTAAAAAAATATTTACAATAACTGATAATTGAAATTGTGCTACAACCCGTTGTATCATGCTAAGAACGCTGGCTGCATTTCCTCGCTGAATATTTGGTGTTTGAGCGAGAAAATAACCAGCACTTTTATAGCAGCGACAACCGGTCGCGGTTATAGAAATTCACCGCACATGAATCCCACGGACCAATAGTTTTATTTTTATAGGTTAGGGTGACAAACGAGCACACAGTCCACCTGATGGTAAGTTGTTGCTGTGACCTATAGATCTATATCTATCCTCAATAAAGAATCAAAATGCAGATGCGTTGACAACCTTGAGGACTAAGTGGAATGCCTCTTTTGCAGTAAAAAGAGTATCCGGTTCTTTACAATCACCATACGCAACACAGCAGTGTTAAACTGCTATTTTACGCTGGTATTCTGTGAGAGCGTGGTCTTCTCCCGGTCGAGCCGACCCATTCGTGCTACAACTATACTAATAATATAGCTGCAGCATGGCTCTAACACGTGCAAACTCTTCTACAGCAAATGGCACAAATATGTAGTCATCTCTCAGAGACTCATGTTTGCGTCATTTTTTTATTTACTTATAATTTATTTGTACCTCCTTCTAGGTTGCCTCAAGAGGACCACCATATAAATTTGGTGACGTTCTATGATGGGATCCATGAGAATATTATCAAACGCATTCATATCCATAGGTATATATGCACGACACATGGATGAATAAATTTTTACCACGTCAACCGATTTCGAAGATTATATTCTTTTTAGTTTTTACTTCTTAAAATTTAATATTTATATCAGTTGCAAAGATTTCTTCCAGAGAAGTAGCCCAAAATATAGGAATTTTTTTATGAAACTTTCTTAAATTAAATTAAATTTTCATATAACCATAGATAGATATTACCCGGAAACTTATGGTTATAACATCGATAACTTCTGCTTACTCTAGTACTGGTATGGTCGGTTGATGCCTGGTCCAACAAAGGGCAAAGGGCACACAAATGTTGTTTGTGAACAGCACGTAATGAGAAGACGTGTTACTCAGAAACAGCTTTGGGGGTGGGGTTCCAGATTTATTTATTTACTAGCTGTGCCCGCGGCGTAGCTCGCGTATACAGGTTTTACATAAAGAATTTGTCGTTTAGGTAAGAGAATATAAAACGATTTATTTCATTACTGTATCAATAAGTGGTAACTAAATAAATCATTATCATCAAAGTTCTAAGTCGTTTATGATAGAGCTTCTGTGTAAACGACGTTAGAAGTAGGCTTAGCCGGGGTGTACACAAAAAGGTTACGGGGGCTACTAACGCGGGAAAAAGCAACATAGAGTTGGCCATGAGCAAAACAGTCAGTACTGAGGTACACTCCTACAACGCGTAAAGTTTGACCTTGCGCTTTATTTACGGTCATCGCATAACACACGCTCACTGTAACTGGGAACTGAACGCGTTTAAAACTGAAAGGAAAGTTACTTCTTAATAGAGGGTTTTTGGGCAGTGCTGCCAGATAAAAAAACTCATTCAGCTCTAGGACAACACAAAAAGCGCTAGATTTCATGAAAACAGCGCTTTAAAAAAGCCCTAGATTTCGCGCTAAATTAACTACAAACAAAGTTTGTGTTTTTTTTTATATAATCATAATAAAGAAAACAACATTAAGTTTTTTTTCTGGCAATATTTTTTTGATGTATCAATACTTCGCAGGACATCGACTTATATTTATGGCAATTGCTGTCAACAGTAGTTAGTACTGTACGAACAATAAAAATGTCATTAATTGTTTTAAAGTGCAATGTATTTCGCAACTTAGTTTCAGATGTCAGCATCTGATTGCGGTTGCTACACAGTTTCTTTGTGTTATAACTTCTAAGTAACTTTTAACTTAGCTGTGCTCTAAGCAACTGACTGAAACTGAATAAAGCAAAATAAATGCGTTGCCAAAACCATGAACGAAAACTTTAATAAAGGGGATTTCCCCGCTTATAGTCGTCGGTAAAAAAATCAAGTTGATCATCCTAAAGGGGAAGCCAGGAGATCCATAGCACAGGGTATCCTAGTTTGGACTCGTCTCCCACGCTCTTTGTTTTGTGGAAAAAATATGTTTGAAAATGATAAACTGCAATGTACTATTTGTGGGAAAAATAATAAAGGTCATTATTATTATTATCGGTAATGTGGATTAACAGAGCTGCTATAAAAGAGTTAGATAGACCGCTAGTCGCTACAATTTTGAAATGTGTGCTAAATACAACAAAAAGCGCTGGATTAAGCGCTAGGTGCTAAAATTTCGAAATGCGCGCTATACATCCAAAAAAGCGCTAAATCTAGTTCCCAAAGCGCTAAAATAACAGTACTGGTTTTGCGTATATTATAAATACAATATCACGACATTTCGTTTCAAAATTTTTATTTTTGGTCGGGTTCCGTTGTATGGCTTCGATGGATACAAATTTCTTCAGTAAGTCTCAATACGATTCATCGGCGAAAAATCTCAACACAGCAATTCAGAAAAGTTTGTAATTTGTACAACTCCATCCATTACGTCCTTTGTGTGAGAAAACATCCTTTTTAAATCTCTTTTTGTGTTTTAAGTATAAATATATTAATTATTATGGAACGTTTTTTTTAACACAAATCTTTTTATTACTATTTCTGAGATTTTATAGCGCCATTGAACAAATCCGAACCTACATTTCAAAATAATAATCATTACTTTCGATAGAATTAACCAATTTTAATAAAACAAAGATTAAATGTAACTCGAAGATACGCTTTATGATTTTCTTAACGATTTCTTTGAAAATAAAAGATGTTTACTTTAGACGTGATGCGTTCATATAATAACAGACAAATAGACAGACAGACAATTCTAAAACTTATAAAATGTTCTTATTTAATTATTTTCAGTTCCCCATAATGATTTTAGCCACCAAAATATATATACAATGTACAGAAAGAGATACAACATGTTATCATCATTTTTATTATATGTATATATTTAAGAAGAGATGGCGCTGCTAACATCAATTCTAAAAATAAAAGAGATTAATTGACGCGATTGATACATTATATAAAACGTAAGAGAACCTATAAATCAGTGCCTGCACAGTAAACAAAAAATAAAGTTTGACTCTCGCCAAAACCAACGCAATTGTTAATAGCTCTTTTAAAATTTGATTTACCACATAGAGTACTCGGCGGTAAAGAATAAATTGAGTTGTTGTCAACACGCAGTAGGGCAGCGAGTAATATAATAAAGATTAGCAGTAAATATGAAAACTCATCTACAGGAAGAAACCACATTACAATTGCATTACATTTTCACAACACCACCATCTATCGAAGAAATGGGTTAACTATTGTGCTTCAGATTTAGTTAATAATGTTAATATATTTTTGTATAATATATTTAATACGTTCTTTAATACTTTTGTTTACTGCGTTTTAGATATACATAATTATATCATTATTTTACATAATTTAACTATGATTTATGATATGATATTAGTTTAAAATGCACTTGATGACTTAAACAAAGCCACCGTTGAGCAAATTCGTACCTATACTTCCCTACCCATACTTCAGAATATTTATCATAACTTTTGATGGAATGAACTGATTTTAATGAAATAAAGACTAAATGTAACCCGAAGATACACTTTATAATTTCCTTAACAATTCTTATGATATAAATTAGTACTTTATACGTGATACGTTAACAAACAAACAGACAGACAGACAGACAGACAGACAGAAAATTCTAAAAATGGTAGAAATGTATTTAATTACTTATTTTTAGTACCCCTCAATCACTTTTATTACAAAAATATAAAATGTACAGACATCTGCTATTTACAGTTTTATTATATGTATAGATTTATTTAAACTTTTATGCACAAAAATAGTATATATGGCGGACTTAATGCCTTAAGGCATTCTTTTCCAGTCAAACATTAGGCTAATCAGAGATAAACATATGGGAGGTAATGCAACATGTATGTATCATTAACAAAAACGTTAATTCATACTTGCAACGATTTTGTGAAAAGTTCAAAAACTTTTTTAGTTGGCAATTTAGTAGTAACATTGATCTTGTGATACTCCCTAGACCACTCAAAAGAGTAAAATAATTCAACTTAAAAAAAATTAAAACCGACTTCAAAAACAAAAAATAAATAAATAAGAAAATTTCTACGTAATAGCTTCTGAAGTCGGGACTTAAATTTATGTATGTACATGCATACTTTATGTTACTCATAAGTTTGTCGCTTAAACTTATCTGCACTGTAATACAGGCTATCCAGGAAGGCGATAATATGGTTGATTGTGTAGCATGAGGGAATAAGTGTACGCAATGCAGCATGATCATTCGCGGATATCATGCCATATTATCATCGCATTTTGGTAAGATTTATACCCGACAGTGGAATCACAAAAGCTGATTATCATTATATGAATAGAATAGAACATTTATTTGCGTTATGTATCCCATTTATTTGACAATACTGTACCAGCATTAACTTTACCATCGATGCAGTCGGGATATATCGGCTATTATCGTTCTTAATTAAACTAACTGTTCCGCGCGACTTCGCCCGCGTGGAAATTATTACGATTGATTTTTATGGAAATTATTACGATTATAACTAATAATTTTTTTATGAGTTACTCTTTATAATATCAGCTATCTTCCAGTCAAAAACCTGTGAAAACCGGTTCAGCTATTTCGGAGATTAGCCGGAACAAACAGACAAAAAAAAATTAAAATTATTTTGTTATATATACCGTATATACTTTCATATTAATTTAGTAAAAGCTGGTTTTTAGACATTACAAACAGATACTTCATATTACATAAACACTCACGCCCGTCACCCATATATCTATGCATACATTCTCGTCGGTTAAGGGTTCTCTTAATTTGGCGCATTTTCAATATATCGCCAATTTGGTCGATAAACTTTCGCCTAGGGGGTCCCTTACCGACTCTGCCGTTCCCTTTTATAAATTTACTTCGTCACTCTTTCCTCATTCTACATAACCAAACCACCGAAACATTCCTTTCTTAATCATAGTCACAACATCATCTTGTAAACCACACTCTTCTCCAATTTCTCACCCTGTCATTCAGATTCAGCCCTAACATACTCATTAATGACTGCATTTCTACAGAATTTACTATACTGTCGTTGTTTTTGCCCAAAAACTTCGATCATCCGTATGGAAAACACTTGATCTATACCCACACCCCATTTTCTTTCCAACTCCAGCTTTCAGATCCCAATTTTTTCCATCAGTTTCTGTCATAAATCTTTAAATTAGTAACTTAGCATACAGTTTTCCCATAATGTTAAGAAGGCTGATACCACGGTAGTTTTTACTGTCCTGCTGCGACCCTTTTCCTTTATATATTGGAACTATCACGGTTTTGCACCAGTCTCCCCGTACCCGGTACGGTACCCGTTTCAGTTCCTAACATAAATTAAAACAAGGTGTACAGCAAGCCTGCCGCCACTCCCTCTCTAGCCCTTAGCATTTCGAGTGATACTATATCATATCCGGTTGCATTACCTGCTTTCATGCTTTTCATTATTTCATCTATACTTATCTCCCTATTTCTTTCCTCTTCTTCCAGACACTTCAATTTCATTTATTTAACTTATACTAATAAATGCAAATAATGTTTTATACTTTAGTTTCTTAAAACACTCTGACTATATAACTCGCAAGTATTCTATCTCTAGGAAGTGTGTGGCAGTGAAAAATATTAGATAATATTTACGGGTCATTATTTTGTGCACATATACGCAGGCAATTTAGTGTTTATTACGCTGTTATAACATGAATTACGAGATATTTGAACATGGCAATCTCAAATCAAATATGCGTATAACATGTTTTATGGTAATAGCGAACATTTTTCAACTTTATTGTGTTTTTAATATCAGTGTTTACTGCAACTTTACTAAGCTGCATGTTGCGCGTAAGCGTCCCTATCAGGTAGAATACTGTATATACTATATTTTTGACGGTAGAATTTCAATATAACCCGTGTTTTTTCAAGGGATAGTTTTGTGTTAGAAATTTCTCCGCAAAAAACAAGAACAATTGTTTATGAGTTAGCGATGGTACGCGCTAAGTCAGAGACAATCGTCCTTTGTACTATAGTAATATTTTCTTTATAAAGTTTAAGTTTTTGTCGTGAAGTTGCAGTATGAGAATATCCACCCCGTATCATCTTGTGGGTGTCGTAAGAGGCAACAGCTGAAAACAAATCAAGAGGTGGGCAGCAGAGTCGTCCTAACAACGACTAAAAAAAACTGTGGTTGCCAACCCGGTTACTAGGCGTGGCAACTAGGGCAAATATCCTCGCTATGAGGCAATCAACGTGGGTTTTTTCTGTTAGGAAAATTTGCTTTAGCTACCATGTTTGGCAGGCCGACTGACAAGCACAGTGTTTTGTAACTTTGACGTTTCTTCTCGACTCTCGTCGTTCTACGACCGACGTAAACGAAATGGTTATACTGCTATCTATTGGAAGCTACGAGATCTTTCTTG